TAATGCCTTTTTATTATTGTTGAGGATAATGAAGGGATGAGAGTCATATGGGGGCCCCAGACAATAATTTGCCCTGAAATGTTTTCAATTAACTTTTGGCACCAGAGGAAAATAGGAATGTTGTGTTTTTTTCCCATGCTGAAACAGAAAAGAGTCAACTGGGGCTTTTGGTGCAGGGACCAGAACCTCATTAAAATTGCCTCATCATAACTCAAACTGCTGCTTGGCCAACCTCCCCCCTGCCCCGCCTCCGATCAGTCATCCTCTAGGTTACACTAAGGAAAAGAAAACAGGCAACCTCATTTCATTTTGGAGACAATATTCATCCAGGCCAGTGTGGTTCTTTTAATGGGCACCAGTTTTAATACGTACTACTTCATATTTTCATCCAAAATGTTATGACTTTGTCGACTGAATGAACATCTGAACTTCAACACGTGTTTTTAGGAAGGTGCATTTATTTTTCAGTTCATTTTCATTTCTGAGCGCAGTGGCAATGAAATAACTGCCTTACTTTGCAAAACATTTTTAAAACAGCTCAGCCGCCAGACTGACTTTTTCCTGTCGAGTCTATTTTGGCTTTGTGGAGTATAGCAAACTGCTTCCAATTCGGTTATACTCAGGTCTGCCTCATGTGAACCTTCACATATGGAGAAAAAATGCAAAACAAATACAGCCCTACAGATCCGTAAATATGAGTTAAAGCTGCATTGCATGGATTTGAAAATAAACGGGTAAACAAACACAATGTCCTGGCACTGTTCTCTCTTTGTTAAACTGGCAGAACATGACACCCAGTTCAGTGAGGAATCTTACTTGGTTAGATAACAACCACAAAAATGATTTTCATGCATGTAGAGCAGTAATGCAACGAATATTAGAAATGTTGTGATATATGACCTCAGTGTTGTTGTTCTGTTTCTGTCCTCAGACAAAAAGCAGAAGCAATTAGTCAACCAATGGTTAAGTTTTATAGCTTATTTAAAGTATGTATTTTGAAAATCCGTCAAAAAATGTAGTTAATTTTAACCTCTGAAAATTGAGAGTATTTCTGTTAATCTTTCGATCAGTTGGACAAAACAAGGGATCGATTCAGTCTGATCAAACGTATGCAACTAATAAATCCACCAGTGTGAAAAAAAATTGTTGACAAAATATTTTACAGAGGTGGAAGAAGGAATCCAATCTTGTGCTTAAGTAAAAAAGAAACAATGAAACACAATGTAAAAATAGTCTATTAAAATCAAAAGTCATGCATTTAAATTATTACTTAAACAAAAGAACACAAGGATTAAAACCAAAATATACTTAAAGCACCAAATGTAAAAGTGCTCATTGTGCAAAATGGCATATTTCAGAATAATGTATATTATGTTATTGGATTACAGACTGTATTAAAGCATGTATTTGTTCATCACTTCAATGTTGAAGCAGGTAAAGGTGATTTAATTACTTGTGATACTTTACTGGTAGTTTATCTTTATAGAACTTTTATCATAATCTATATATTATGACATTTTCATGTTTTTTTTCTTGATCATATTTAGAATTATTATGCAAAATATGCAGAGTTCGATTACCTAAAGTTCTACAATAAATGTATTTAAGTAAGAAATATCATATTTGCCTCTGAATTGTTGTGGGCTAGAAGCATAAAGTAGCAGAATATGCAAGAAAAGTACAATGAACTCAAAGCTGTACTATTGACAAGTTACTATAAGCAATAACTGAGTGATGATAAGTATATGCAAACTTATAAAAATGCACCTACATGAGCTGTAAAACAGACATAAGCATGTAATAATAAGCCACAGCTAATATTCAACACCATAAACTGCTGGTCATAGCAGAATCAGTCAGACTATAGCAGCTACACATCTGAGCATATTCATTTCAGCAAAGATTAGTTTCACTGGGTATGAAATTAGGAGGATTGTGTGATATCTTATTTTTCAAAGACTACATGCTTAGCCTAAACGTTTGAACACATTTCTAGATTTGGGTAACAGTTTTGTTCAAAAATAAACAAACTTAGCAAAAGCAAAGTGAAATGAATAAACCCCAGTGACCCACAATAATTGGAGGTTGAGGGGTGGGCTCATGGAAGGCCGTAGCCCAGGCTTTAGAGAGGTGGGAAAGGTGGAGGAGGGGTTGATTTATGATTGAGGGTTAATGGGGGAAGGGGCTGGCTGGGAGAGGGGTTGTGCTGGGTTGAATGTCAGGGATTTCAAGGCTCTCTGAATTATGATGCAAAGAGGGAATATTTAATCGGCCAATCAGATGGCTCTTCTAGGATGGCTGGATAGGAATTGTCCTTCGGTTCCCTCCCCCTTTTTCCCCCCCTGCAGCCCTGCTGAAGAGCAAGTTTTCAAGGAGTGAGAGAGGGAACACAAAACATAGCTGACAAGGGGCATAACTTCATTTCCACGGTGCTGGGACAGCTGTGTGGAGTAATCTGCCGTAGCAGCCCTCTGAAACTTCAATGCCTTTAGTGACCCAGGGAAGTGGGGAGGGGGCAGCTCCTACTGTGTCCAGGCATTTAAGAGTGCGAGGGGGATACTTTCACACTCTTCCGAGAGCTTTTGTTGAGAAAATATCCCTTACCTCTTGTTCCCTGAGAGCAAAGTCTATACGTTTATGAGATGAGACAACAATGGTTCACATTTTGAAAGCAAACTTTGAATTCATTTCCCAGCTTGTGGGAAACCAGGTTTAAAGTGAAGAATTCTGTGGTTTGTTGTATATTTTTATTGAGAAAAATGACTCTCAGTTTACTTGCTATGTTTTATATTTAACACAAGATGCAAGTCAAGTAATTTTGTTTATGTCACCCCAGCAAATGACAATCTTCAGATTATTGATGTGAAAAAAAGGAAAACTTCCTAAAAATCACATTTTGAATTTGCTGTGAAGATGTTTCTGCTCAGCTCATAAAATACAAACATCAAAGAATTTATCTGATATCAGGCTTTAACATGAAACATCTCAGATGTGTATGTTAAGTATGACTTAAACCGCACATATGTCTCTCTACATGGTGCATGTTCAGAAAGTCCTCATTTTCAAATGTTCCTTCTTACTCGGTATGTGTAAATATTGGTAAAAAAGAGAATTGGGCAGTCTATCGATGAAGAGGGGTTCATTATTTTGTGCAAACGGTTCTGTTGGAGACTGAAGAAAGAACAAAACATTTTAGACTAAGATAATGGCCTGAGGCTGGGTTGCTGTCTGCAGTGAATGAGGTCTCCCTGGAGCTCAATAAGGTCTCAAAGTTTTACTCCATTATGCTGACATCCTAAAGGCCAGGGGCCACCACCCCCAGTGGTTATTTCTCAAGTATGCATTCATCACCCTCCTCTACACACACACACACACACACAGACACACAGACACACACACACACACACAAAATCTTTTGGACTTTAACTCCTCTCTATTTAGGTGATGACAGGAGGTGATATTTCCAGAAAACTCGCTGAGAGAGGAACAAGTAATAAATAACGTGCTCAGGTCATTTAAGTACGACACTACAATATGTCCAAGACTAACACGCAGGTTTTATTGTGGTTTAAAGACTTCTCATACTTGGCTTTGCTGACATTTTTTAATTCTGACATATAAGACTAAAACTAATCTTAACAATTAATCAACCTCAGAATACATCTGCAAGAAATATATTGTTTTATCAAAGCAAGTTTCCCTTTAACAGGTCAGTGCACATTCCTAATTATTGTGCAGGCTGCAGCGGTACGCTCACTGCTGTCTCACCCTCTCACTGTTTGCTTCATGAGGCCTTCTGCGGCACGAGGATCTCTAGTCATGCCTGCAGTGTTGGCGCTAAATGGCTGAATTCAAAACCAAGACCAAACATAAGAATCAAAGGCGGCTCAGCTAAGCAAATATTCCAGCCATGCTTTTTGTCCATTGTGGGAGCAAATCCGTAAGCATCAAAGCAACAGCCCATGCTAATGATTTTACCATTGACAGTGAGAAAAGGCCCCAAAACACCTCTTTAGGCAAGACAAGAAAGGAAAACAGCAAGAAAAACGAAGTGAACGTATGGAGGACTGCAGCTTACAGTTGAACAGGTTGTTTTCTTGAATTTTGAGTGGTCATAGTAGGAAAAGCACATGTGTTACCAATAACATGAAGAATGTTTTTTTTCTGTTCAGGTGTTCCAGTAAGCCATAATAGTGTGACAGGGAGCCAGCATGCACAGCTCCAGGAAACTCAAGTGGAATTCAGCCATCCTTCTTTTTTTATTTTAACCCTTTTCTTATGAGACATCCTTTGGAATTTGTGTCTCCATGAAAATCTGAGATATATACATACCTGTACACATGCCGCATATTTTCATTTGCACCTTTGGACCATGTTGGTTGAGAATAAATTTAGCTAAGATAGACGTATTTAATTTTTTCCCTTACAGCTTGTATAATTCCTACAATCTGAAGCTGAAGTTTCTGTTAACTGGCTTTGCTATTTTTACACAGTCCTCAATGTTCTATAAAAATGTTTTTAATTTATTATGTTCATTGACTTATTTACCAGGTGTGGCACCGATGAACAGCTTTGTCTCACAGCAAAAAAGAACCGTATAATATTTGTTGGCCGTTTCTAGCCATCTTTAATGTCAGATCTCTCTCAGTCCATGCAGCTCCTACTCATCTGGTTCTCATTTGCACAGCACAACCAGCTGGAATGTGTCCATGCTTGAGTTATTAGCCCATTAATACATACTTCAGCCAACACTATTCAAGTGAGCTAAAGTTGAAAGGCACACACTGTTGTTTGTAGTGAAAAAGCCAAAGTTAGTTTGCATTCACATATTCTTTATTCAATACATTTTCTCCTGTGCACGGTGCTGTGGGCTGTAAAGGACCGCATAAGGTTTGGAGCGGAATTGTTTCCAGATATTGCTTTTTATTTGATTCGTCATATCAGAATGCAGTGTTACCTTTAGTGCTCATGTGCACCACTGAAAAATACCAGAAGACTTGTTTTCTGACACAAATTGTTTTTATTAAAGCTTAACAAAGATTATTTTCAACTAAACCCCTATGTGTACATATTTACAGTTGATAAAGTATACTCCACATACTTAAATCATAAAAAAATAAACCAAAACAAACATCTACAAATATAGAACTGTCATTTCAATTGCGATTCTGTGTGTTAAATGCTCTTCTGTGCACTCAGCAGTATTCTTCACTGCGAGCGTCTCCTCTGCACGCAGCTCCGTTGACTCCGTCTGAGTTGCAGCCACGCGTCCTGTCGCGTTTTCCTCCGCTGCAGTTGGACCAGGCAGACCAGCATGACCAGTTACCTTCATGAACAACAGGAGGTCTTCTGCCTGCAAAACAGTGTTCACATTACCACACTCAGATTAAACTACCTAAACTGGCATGAATGGCCATCTTGGTAAGTTGGGATGCCGTGTGTTTTGGTTCACTCTTACCTGGGGTTCTAGATTTATCGCTTTTGAAGTTCTGGCAAGCGAGGCCTTCGAACAGGTGAGGGCACAGACACAGACACTCTCCATCCAGCAGAGTCAGAGTGCCTCCGTTCTGACACGGCTTACACTTGCACACGCTATATTCTGACACGTAGTCTGTTGTGGCCTGCTTCAGGTTTGATATCCTGGAGTTGGCGCCCGGCATTTCCAGAGGAATTAACATGTAGATGGGCTCTGGCTGTAAGAAACAACAGAATGTACACATTATTTCACTTTTTGTTTTTCCCAACATTTGTCAGTTTTAAACCTTTCTAGTAGATCTGTGAGGTTATTCTTGGACACACCAGTGTTTTGAGGTACAAGCTAACATGCTAATGCTAATACCATTTTTTACCATCTTCATTTCATGTCTTGGTCATAAACCAAAGTGTTGGAAAATTTTAAATTTTCACCCTAATGCTGGCCCAAGGTCCCCACTTCTCTCTAAGCATCCCTTCTCACTATTGCATCTCAAGCACACCAGCTCACCCAAGACTCTTCCTAAACACTGTAAAATTACTCTGCACACTAGTAAATTGTACTTTTGGAGTAATTTAGCTTGAAGAATACAGATGACACTGAAAGCCCCATCCCCACCCCACAAGCTGACAGATTAACTCCTTAGGTTTTATTTATTTATGTAACGCTTTTCTCGGCACTCAAAGACTTTGAACCTTGAAAGTCTGAATCATGTTTTTTGTTTTTTTTTTAAAAACAGGTATGCTTCAGTTTCACATTGGAAATGGACAGCCATAGCATTGACAGTTTATATAATTTGATAATTTTGTGAAAAATATTTCTCTTTACTGTTGAGAAATGTCAAATGTCAAACTTGTGGTTGTACTAGAGGCAAAATCAGAAGATCTTCAGTTTATAAACTGGATCACAAGATGAGTGACAACATTAGCCAGCTGGTGGCAGCACATGAGAAGGCACCAGAGTCATTTGATTTATCTGGATAGTGTGAAGTGTCTGTATAAAATTTCATGGCAGTCTGTGGAATTGTTTTTGAGATATTTCAGTCTGGTCCAAAGTGGTGGACTGACCCACCCCAGCAGACACTGACACCTACTGGCACTGCTGTAAACGCTGTTATCATACTATGACCCCCACTTTGATCATGTTAATCCTTTGCTCTGCCAGTTTATCGTTCCTACCTCACTGTTGAGCAGTGCAGGGGCATTTGGGATGGATTGGGCCCATGCCTGATACGTAGCAATGTCCATCACCCCTTCCTTATTTAATCTGGCCCTCATAGTAACAGCAGTTGGGAGAGTACCTCCTTTGACTGATGTCATCACCTTATCCACCACTGCTTTTCCATCAGTAACACCTGTGTAGCAAAAGGAAACCCATATTTAGTGACTAAATTAAGACAATACCTCGCTGCAATATCTATGTACAATGTCCATTTGAGAAAAAACAGCGTAGGTGTTTAATGTGTGGGTTTTTACAAGTCTTTTTTGCAACACAGTGGTTGTAGATTGTGTCCTTAGTGTCTTAAAGTGAACTGTGAAGCAAACGTTTAATGCCCTGTATGATCAGAACTAATAACTTTTTCCACAAACATATGCTGTGTGAGTATTGTATTAAAAATCAGAAGCATACAGGCTTTACTAGTCAGTGTGATGAGAAAAACCACGAGGGCTGACCTGTTTCGTTTGTTGTTACATTATCACACCCGCTTGGTTTGTAATGTGCTTTTCCATCATGCAAAGTTGTGGTAGCAAATTCTGCTGTGATGCCTAATTTGACGCAATCTTGAATCCTTCTCTCTGTCAGATCTGCAAGAATCATCATCAAAGTTTAGAGGATGAACTATGAATTATTTAGTCAACACACAAAGCTGAAGAAGTGCCATAGCCGGAAAATAACTTTTAAACATCCAAACAATGGAGCAGACATACTTTTTGCCTTGATGATATCCTGGTTGAGAACGTAAATCAATTCATATTCGCCACCAGACTTCCCATTTTTGGTGTAGTGGGTGCCATAGTCTTCCAGGAAGGCAAAATAAATACCCTTCTCATACTCCAAAGGCAAAGATTTGACATGCCGCAGGAATTCATCAGCCACTTGGAGCTCACGTGAGCGCATCCTGTAGGTGCTCATCTGTAATTTGCCCGTCACCCTCATGAAGCTCTTGTTCTGAGAGAGCAGGAGGAGAAACATAAGTAAATAGAGAAGCACTTTCAGAGTTTTTGTGATGAAGTACTTAAACATTATATTGTGAAGTTTACCTCAGCAGAAGTGTATTCCGTGACCTCTCTAATCATCGCTTTTTTTTCGTACTGTTGCTCTATAGTAAGGTTTAGAGGAATATCGGACAAGGAGTCCTCAGTTGGCTTGAATTTGAACGACAGTCCTACATCGACATTAGAACTCATCTCTTTCAGCATTTCCCTCAGGAGGCTGTGTGAGTCCTCATAGATTTCTTTGGAAACTGTTTCTTCCACCAGCGTCTGGAAAGACAGTGAGCCAAAGTATTAGGTGGTAGGAATGAGTTTCCATAATCTTTGCTGAAATCCGCTCATCATCGTTTTACAAATAAGAAATTATTGTGGCTAACCTGATAGCTGAGCACACCAACATTCCAGGGAAGCCTGTCATACTGGCCAGTGTTTGGATTCCTTGCTCGGTCACATCTACCGTTGAAGTAATCATTGTTGAAGGGGTTCATTCGAGGATCTGCACCCAAGATGTTGATTCTGGTACAGACACAGTGATTAACTTAACTTAGCTTAACTTAACTTAACTTAACTTAACTTAGGATAGCTTAGCTTAGCTTAACTTAACTTAAAAGAACTGTTTAGCATGCTAGAAGATGTGCTTATTTTTCTTTAGAATTAGATGAAAGGGTTGATACCACTCACATATCTGTCCATTAACCATGAAGTTAAAGCCACATACAGCCTGGAAGTAAAGGGGAAACAGCTTGCCTGGCAGTGTCCAGAGTTAAAGAATCATCTGATATGAATTAGGGAGGGCGAAAAGTTCTGGCAGGACAGAGCTGTTGTTGCTAAGCTAAAGGTCTCCTGCTTTTATTTTTAGCATATACAGAGATAAGAGTGTAAATAATGTTCATATTTAACTTGGCAAGAAAATGGCTAATCAGATTTAAGAAAATGTGTAGCTCAAAATGAATAATGTACAACATAAATCATTTGTATAATCCAAAAACAGCTCAGACAAAATCATAGTGTCTCCTCTTAAGCTGGTTTGCTACTAACGGTGACTTTTGTTGCATATGGACACTCTAAATGGTATCATCCTGATGTAAGTCTACTTTCTCCATCTAGTCTTCATTTTACTCCCAGGAACATAAAAAAGGAAGAATGTTCTTAAACCAAAATGGATTTTTTTTCCCCCAAAAAAGTTTATCAAGGCCTCAGCTGACAGAACATTTTTTAAAAAACGTTCGTCTAATGTGATATTTTCATAGAGGTAGAATGTCTATCTTGCAGTATTCATAGGATTTTGTTGGGATGTTGTTTTTCTGTACAACATTCCCACAATGTTACATGATAACAAAGAAAGGAAACTCTCAATGCAACATTCGGAAAACATTTTGGGAGGAAAACACATCATTCTCATTAAAATGATTGCTTTTGAGAACCTTTTTAGAGAGTTTCAACAAATGATTTCTTACTGCACTTTTTAAAAAATTAGCGTTTTTTTGAAAAAACAAAAACAAAAAAACAAAAAAACATGTCCAGTGGTAATTCATTCTTGTACAATGTTTGACCATGATATTACACTATTTTCACTGTATTTCAATCAGCAAAAAAATGTGTTACTTTGCAGATAATTGCCATTATCTGAAAGACAAGAATTGAAAAATAGTAAATCCTTTTTAAGCTGCTTTACAGATTATCTAATAAATATCTACACATATCTAATAAAAGCACACAAAAAGTACATAATGTCAACATGAAAAATCTGTATTTTTTCCAAATAGTCAGTAAATAGACATTGTTTTATTGAATTTAAATCAGCCCAAAAAAACCAACATTTTTTTAAACACAAATTTTTTCTGTTGTTTTTAGGTTCTGCTTTTTTAAACAGTTTTGAATATTACAGTATTCAACCTTTTTCTTTTTTTTTCTTTTTTTTTTTTAAAAAGAAAGTGTTTTAGCTGCCAGTTTTTAAAAAATCATTATTTTATATTGTGGTGTGTTGTTGTATACTGACTTTCTGATTCCACCTGAGTTAACTCTTTCATAGCTCTTACCCGTATCCTGCTGTCCTGCCTTGCTCATTGTTATCCAGGATTGCATTGCCGCAGGGTTTACGCACAGGTTCACAGTCCTCATCTGATCCATCCTCACAATCGTAGTCCCCATTGCACATTAATCTCTTCTTAATGCAGGCTCCTGTGCAGAGATGGAAGTTAAACTAAATAAAGTAAACTAAGAGGTACCGTAGTGACTGTAAAGATGCTGCATTACCTGACTCACACTGGAACTCTGAGTCTGAGCACTCGGGGGGAGGCGGCTGTTGACATTCAGCATCAGTCACACAGGACTCTCTGTCCCCGAGTGATCCCTTGCAGGCCTTACCCCCAAACTGGCCAAACACTTCTACAGTTCGAGAGCGCCTCTGAGGATCATAAATGACATCACACATTGTTAAGGATCTATCCAGCTGTACCACGACAGAGAGCAGTCACTAGAAAAACACTGAAGTTAAGTTTGAAGCCTCTCAGCCATACTGTATCAGTAAACCTTACCGTTAATCGCTGTCAACGCTGCCTTTACACAAAACCTTAAAAACACATTCATGTGTGGCAAATCTGAAGGGCATATTAAAACGCAATATCTACAATCGACGTAAATGTTGTAGCCACAGTTTTGTCAGACTCACTCTGGTTTTTGTGCAGGGATCACAAGCACTCCATTCTGACCAGCGGCCCCATGCACAGTCCACAGCTGGTGGATCAGGAAGCGCCTGAACTCCCCTGAAACACACACAATAGATGCAATAAACTCTCTCTAGCATCCTAAAAATTGCATTAGGTGATAGAAAAAGCATCCTCAAATAAAAGTAAAACGAAAATATACATACATTCCTTCACCAAGAAGTGCCAGAGTTAGACACAGGCTACAGAAGCCCAGCTGTAGAGCAACGTCAATCCTCATGATGACCCTTTGAAAAGATGAATGATGCGTTTGTGTGTGTTTAGTCTTTTAAGCTACCTCTTTATTAATGATTATCTAACTTCAAAAAGAGTGTGTCGCCATCAAAGTCAATAGTTTGGATATCAGGTGCCGCAATATTGATTCAGTGCTCGGAAACTCCTGAACCAGAGGTCGCAGTGTTTGTGTAAATCAAAACATCTTACTCATCCTGTCTGTGTATGATAGGCAAAAGCCTCTTCAAAAGCATTATAACAACAATAACAGTAAGTGGTGAATAGTTTCCTCTCATCATCCGTGGAAACCTGTTATATAACTGTTACATTGCACTCATTTGTTTGATTAATTATGTGCCTGTCGGGATTTACAAACCAACTAGACTCACAGTCAGATAACCAGACATGTGCTACAGAGAGGGGGGAAATATATTTGCATACGCATGCTTTTAAAGTTGAAAATCCGAAATTTTTTTCTGTTTTTACAGTTTCTGGCTCTGATAAATGGTGCCATTTTGGAGATTTAAAAAGATGTCCTTCAAACTAGATGGCAGGGATGGGATATACAACACAAAGAGTGACCCATGATCACTGCTATATTTGTCACCAAACATTAAACGAGTCTAAAGAAATTATATGTTCAATGTTTTATTCAATTCTCAGTCATGGGAAACTGGAAACAACCACAACAATGCACTCAATGACTGGTAGAGACATTTGGGACGACACTGTCACGTCTCCCAGTCCATACACACAGTTTAGAAGTAGTAGTTTATTGTGTTTTACTTCTATTTTAAGAATTCTTCTGGAGACACTTTGTGAATTTGTGGGTTTTTCAAGATTATGCAACCATACAGGGAGGACTGCACCGGAGCAGAGCAAATATTACAGAGGTCGTTTTTCACTGTTGTAACACGTTGGCATGGTCTGTCCCTGTTACATTTAGGTCACGATGATGGGAAACTGGATAAAAAAAACCTTTTAACTTCACGCCCACCATCAAAATGAAAGGTATTTGGAAAACACTGGATGAATGCACGGGTTTGCAGAACACATGCTGAAGTGTAACTTTTCATCCACAAGGTGGCAACATTGAACAGATAACAGCAGTTTTTTGTAACCTGAGTCCATTCACACACTGTTTTTGTGTCTAGGATGAGGTAACGCACAAATGTAGAGCCTGCTGTGGCGAGAAATAGTGCATATACTTACATTAAAGTTGTTTTCTAGCACATCAGGTGCTGTTGTCTTCTGGAAATGTATTTAAACAAGGCTTGCACAATGCAGGAAGTTTTGAACTGTTGCACCCAATGATCCGTCATGTGATCTGGAGGACTTCTGCTGAGTCTGCAGTACTTTGTTCTTCAAAAGGAAGGAGTGCAGTGTGTATAAATTATTTAAAAAGGGAGAAAACAGAAAACTTGACAGCGCCGAGAGATGAAAGCAGTATAAAGTTTAAAAGTAGGCAGGATTATGACAACATTAGCTGATCACTTTTGATCAGGTGAGTTATTATTCATGGACACAGACACAAGGGAAACCAACGAATGTCTGCTTGCATCTATCTGCGCTCAACTGATGTTAAATTCCAGAAAATTCAGCGTGCTGACATGTATTTTTCTGCTGACTTAAATAAACACAGTCAGACTGTTCCCTGATGTCTCCAAAGTCAATGTGGGGGCTGCCCTGTCCTGCTTCTTCTTCCCCGGTATCTGCAGGCAGAGCTGGGGTAGTCTTTGGAGGGGGGGGGGGATATGTGGTCATGGCCCAATGGAGAGGCGCAAATATGTGCTGAAGTCACCACTTTTAGGAGGTTCGGCAGTTTCCTCCCAGCTTTCTCAGGAAACCAGAGGGTAGGTAAGGTGCTTGGCCAATATTTCTCCGACTAGAAAGACTTCCTGTTTTTGGGGAGGGGAGCTTGGAGCTGCGTGGAAACACTTGTGGAGCAGAACATCGCCGAGTTTTACTGTAATTCTACACACTACCTCCATAGAATCCTGTCATGATGTGTGACAGAATATGATGACGTTGCGTCCTGCGCTGCCACTTGGGCCTTGCGTTGTATTTTTAGAACGAAACGGTCAGGAGCTGTGAAGGCACTTGGCAGTTAAAGAACAGAGAGGGACACAGAGGATAAAATCTAAGACTACCTCAATTATGGACTGGAGATAAGTGGCTATCTTAGGTTCTGGCTGTGGTGGCAGCCAGTTCCAGGATTCACGCCCTTAAACGCTTGATGTTTGGATTGTGGCCTTCCTGCCATAAACTGAGGAAAGAACGCTTCCCATTAGATTGTCTCTGTCAGCATTCTATCATAAAAATAAATCCTCTAATGTGTCTGTGCTGACTTGTGCCATCTGTTGTCTGTTTCTTGAATAGAGTTTCTCATACTACTCCTATCAGAATCCCATGTGAGCTCGAACAGGGCTTGAATACGTATCATCCGACGTGTCCTCCTCCATGCAAGCATGCGGTTGCAATGGGTGTGCCAAGGACCTAGACTGACAATGAATCACATTTTGAAGAATAGAGAATCATCTGACAATGACCTGGAGAGACACGTCACTGAAGGGAAGAGGTTAACCAGCTCCATATTTCACTGGAAGACACATTTTGCACTCCCTAATATTGTTGAGGAGAAAAAAAATAATAAAACGCAAGTACAATCAAACATTTGATAACATTAGGATGTGTAATAAGAGGCTATGAAAGAGATCATTCCAGTGGTTGGCGACTGAAGGGGAAAACAGAGTCTCAGCTCATCAGTAATCTGGTTTCTGAGGGGCTCATCTCCTAAAAAGCAGCTTCTGTCAGCAGAACACAGGATACAAAGTCAGGAAAGACATCCTTCCTCTGTCCTTTTCTCTCTCATTTCTCAGCTATCATCCTACAACACGCACTGTACATCTCGTTAGCATAAGATGGTATCATATGTTTTTGTTTGCCAAATATATGATGTTTGCAGTTTTGGTCAGAACCAAATATATGGATATGGATTGAAGTAATGTAGCCCAGCGATGGACTGGTGACCGGTCCAGGGTGTCTCCTGCCTTCGCCCTGAGTTGGCAGGGATAGGCTCCAGCCTCCCCACGACCCTAGTGAGGATTAAGCGGTGTATAGATAATGGATGGATGGATGGATTAAAGTAATACTGGTGGATGTGATTAAAGAGCCCCCTCAGTGAAAATCATGTTTTCGTTTATTTTTTTAAACTTGTTTCATGTCTGTATGGTGTTTTTTACGACGAGCGAAATAAGCAGTCCGTGCCATGGCTGAGCATTTCCACCTTGACACTGCAGAGTACTGATGACAGTCTTAAAAACACAGGTTCAGACTTCCAGGGTTTCATATGTACCAACCTGAGGAATCAATCCTGTCAGCTTGCAGACTAAGAGTTTCTGCATCATTATTCTTCTCCCGAAGTTGATTCAAATGTGTTTAAACACATATGGCTGAATTGCAATATTCCATCTTG